AAGAGAGCTGTGAAGATTTAGCAGTTACTGGAAAGATGACGTGGAAGAGAAAGCTTGTATATTCTGATAGCCTTTGCACTACCTCTCTTAACAGGTCAGTTCTTTTTTTTTTTTTTTTTTTTTTTTTTCTTAAAAAAAAAAACAAACAAGAGTGCGAAAACAGTTATTTATTGAAGTATATAGATTATCCTGGGGAAGAAAGAAGGAATGAGAGATGCAGTGGAAACAAGGAAATCCTTGGTACCTGCATTCAGATGTTAAGTAGAACGCCCCTTTTCTGTGCCTGTGCTTTTCAGTTGGTCACTGGCTGCTGCAACTATGAAATGAATCTGCGCCTTCCATCGCAGCCAGTTCTGATGCTTCCTGGGAACTGACTGGGTCTCTGGACTCTGGGGAAAAAAGCAAAAAGTACTTTTCTGTCTGATGTCGTAGCGAATCCAAATCTCCTTTGCAGCATTTTTTCCTATAAAAGGACCAAGAAATTGATTTTTGCCTATTCATTTTAGGTCAACTGAGAGAACAGCTCAGCTACCTCAAAGGAGATAACTTTTTCAGATTTACTTGCTCTGATTGCTCAGAAGATGGGAAGGAGCAATTTGAACGGCTGAGATTAACATGGCAACAAGTAAGTAAAATGTTTGTGCCAGCAGAACAACCACAGGACTTTCTAAAATTGTTGTTTGTTGTGTATGTGCTACCTAGAAATGGAGGATCAGGTATAGCTAACAAAGAAACGTATGCGTGAACTTCAGAAATTAATTAGCTAAGGATTGCCTGCATATTAGAACTCGGGCATTTGGCAGGTAAATTGAAAGATAATCGTACAAACCACATTCCTTTTTTTTTTTTACTTTTTATTTTCTTCTTCCCCTTATGTTGCTCATGAATTCATAGCTTCAGGCAGGTTTGGAAAAGCAAATTGAATGCAATTTGGCTGCTAGGTATGAACAGCTTTTTGTGTATAAGAGCAAGTGTAAAGCTAGTGAGGTGGTAACAAACAAACAGAAAGCTTGCCAGCTCCCTGAATGCAAAGCTCCAACCTGGCTGCTTACTCTCCGGCAAGAGTCCTTGCTGGAATTTGCTAATTTGGTCACTTGCACACCTGAGCAATTAAAATAATTTGCATTATACAGCAGCGACCATATGGGTAAACTGATGCACACTATCTCGCTCTAAGCAGGGCGCTGGAGGGGCGGGCAGGCAGTGCTGGCTGCCTCTGCATAAAATGAATTTGATCAAGCAGTAGCTTAAGTGTTTCCACATGCTGAGCATCAGACAGTATGTGCGAGACATCTATTTGCATCCTTTGGGGCAGCAGTGGTGTGCTGTCTCATAACAGATCTTTTAAAGCCTCAGTTGTATCTCCTACAGTGCTTTCTCGTGGTGCCCAGTGCGGGGCTGTGCAGGAGAAAACGGTAGTGTAGCAGTCTGTGGCTAGCAGACTGGCAGAGTTTCACCAAGTTACAGATCTGGAGAGCAAAGGCTGCTAGCGTTACGCCTAGGTCTCTTCAGAGTGGCATGGGGAAGGGACAGGCAAAATCAAAACGGGTGAGGAAGAAAGTTGACTAGTGAAGAAACTATCTCCCTAGGCTTCCAGCAGCCAGAGCTGCTGCTGCTTCTGGGTAAGTCAAATTGACAGAAGTGGTCAAATTTACCTGAAGTAAGAAAAATTGGGACGGTGATTTCTGGATTTTTTTTTTCAGAGTATGTGGCCTCAAAAGATCCTTAACTTGAGCCAGTTGAAAAAATAATTGGTTTTGAAGTCCTGAGACACTGTCCTACCTAACTTATAAAAACACAAAGTCTTAGATAAATAGTTATCAATCTAAGAGGGGACGTTAAAGCTCTCTGTATTTACTTGTTTTGGCATCTTCAGCAATGCATTCCAGAAAGCTATGGCACACTGCGAGGAGACCCGTCTCCCTAGGAAAAATACATTTCAAACTTCCCTGACAGTGAAGGATAAATTCCTGTTGGAAGTAGCATCCAACTGAGGCTGTGTGATTGTTGAAGGATGGTCCCAGCCCAGCTGTACGATTTTAGTTTTATTCAAATTAATTGGATAAACATAATTAAGTTAGTAACCTAGCATTTACTTACAAAGAGGTGTGATATTTTTCAAAGCTAAACCTTCAGTTTAGGCATGTAATAGGTCAGACTAAATCTGGCTGTGAAGCACGTCAATGAGCTGTAAATGGATTGTCTTTAATGAAGATCACTGGGAGACAAACTTAATTCTTGTATACCCAGAAAAATTAGGAGTTATCATGGAACTTTACAGAGCGTTTACTGTCAGTTCAGTTTGAAACATAACAGTAAGTATTTAGAAGGACCACTGTCACTAGATGGATTAAATTGTGGGATTACTTGTGACTTTTTTTTAAATATTTTTTTCCCTACCTCCACACTACATTCGGACCCCAGCTGTGGTATAATTCATTTATACAACCATTGCAAAAGCTTGTATTCAGCATAAACCTGCATAACTAGGCAGCTTGTT